AAGAAACCACAAAGGAAATAAAGGCAGAGCTAAGATTAGAAGTAGGAAAGGTAGACCCAGGGCAAAAATACAATGAGATTGGGGTAGAGGTGGAGAAATAAGGCACAACAAGAGTCATTTTTTTTAACATATATTGTTTCTAAATACACATAATTTTAATGCTGTAGAGCAGCCAAGTTTCGCGGTGGTAGAATGTGGGACCTGGAGCAGGAAGACTCATCTTCTAGAGTTCAAATCTGGTCTCAGATACGTACTAGCTATGGGACCCTGGGCAAATCACTTAATCCTGTTGACCTCAGTTCCTCATCTGTAAAATGACCTGGAGAAGGAAATGACAAGCTACTCTGGAATCTTGCCAAGAAAACCTCAAATGGGGTCACAAAGAGTCAGACACTGCTGAAAAATGACTGAACAACACGTTTTAATGCCAAGAAATTCAGTTCTGCATGACATTTAGGTATTTATTTGGGAATAAATCAAGTCACATAGTCAAATGAAATCATGGGTCCAGACCAAATCAGGCAACATGTCTTACATGTAAGGTAAAGGCTTACACCTTCTGGTGGATACTAACAAAGAGAGGAAATAAATTTCAAATGTGTAGTGGAAAGATCACTGGATTTGGAGAGAAAGGATCCAGATTAAAATCCCAGCTCTAACACCTATTAGCTGTGTGTTTATTGGCAAGTCGCTTTCTAGGCATCAGGTTCCTTATCTGGTAATAAAAAAAAAAAAGTTTGTGCCTACAGAGGGGGGAGGAGAGAACTAGAAGACTTCTGAGGTTCCTTCTGCCTCTAAGTCCATGACTCTAAGAAGCCTTGTAGGCCTCAGTCTCTACAATTCTAAAACAAGAGGCAGAACTAGCTTTATTTATAGTGCAACTTTGTGGTACCTGCCAAAATCAGAGATGAAGGCATCCATGAGAAAGATTGCAAGAGCCTGCCGTGGGCTAAGACATCCTACTACATTTCCCTACCACATGGGTAAGAGTAGCCTTTTCCCACCGTTTGTGTAGCCAGAACAGGCTACATCTTTAAAACCACCAGACTCAGATATTCTCATTCTTTTTTTCTGGCTGCATCTAAGAGATGAAGGTCCTGTTCATCTGAAATTCACATACCATGTATTGAGCCAGATGGGGGAGAATGGCTATTTTGGTCTATCTCATTTGGCCTTTTCAGTTATAGACACAGGTGATGGAGTCCCTGGACCTGAATGGTCAAGCCATGGTGATTTGGAGAGTAGGATTCTAGGCTGGAAGTTGTGTCCAACCCAGAAGAGAAGATTGGAGAAGCCACAGTGCTGGGATATGGATACAAGCCCAACAGGGCTTTGCACTTGGAACTTGGTGGCACCATGCTAGAAAGTCTCAACAACTAATGCTCCATCCCTCCACTCTCTAGACTGAGGTGGTGTAAAAAGTTAGTATGTCCCTAGATGTTATGGGGTAAGGGGGATGTACGTACATTTGTTCTTGCTATACCTTGAAGTAAATATTCCTTTGTAAAATTAATCTGACTGTTGCCACTAAATTGAACTGGGGGACCCCTAAAATTGGAAGACAAAATGGTGGGGTTTTGAGTCAATGGCAGAGAGACTAGACATCCCAAATCCCATTAAGGGTACTTGAGAACCCTGGGGGAAGGGAGGAAATATAACACATCTGGCTGTCAAGGAGTGAGGGCAAGGATAGTCACTGTTATATCTCTAAAGTCCTTTTCATTTCTTGAGCCCATGGATTTCTGGACCTTGCCTAGAGCCCTTTCCAGTTTGGCAAAGGTTTTCCTTTGTTCTTCTTCAGTGGTTTTGAGCATGACTCTACATAGTTGTCCCATTTATCATCTCAAATTGAGAATGCACTGCCTTTTCAATGGCTTTTGCTTTCTCTATTCCAGCCAAAAGAGCAAAAGCAGTTCCTGTGATACTCAAAGAGGGCCTTTGCCTTAGTAGATAGGACTCTCTAGTATGTTGACTTTTAAAACACAAATGGAGGGTTTGATTTAGCCCTGACCACAAGCTGTGTTCTAAACCTGATTCTGGGAGTCAGTCTGGTTTTGTTTTAGTCAGGGTAATAGAAGCGGCCCAGTATACAATTAATGGTTTCTGTTCTGTAAATTTACCACGGAGATAATGTATCAGTGACTCCATAAAAGGTACCATAAAACTATGGCTGGATACCATAGATACAAATCAGTTCTATGAGTTACTATAACTTTGTAGTTATTACCTTATTATATATATGCATATTTATGTGTGTATACATGTATACATACATACATACATACATGTATATATGCATACACACACACACACACACACACACACACAGAGGTCACGAAAGTGTCTCTGAGGCCTCAAACATTTTGCCAGTCAACCACAAACTCTGCCAGACCTTGTCAAATGAGAAAAGTTTTATAATTGCACCTGGTAGGGGACTGCATGTTTGTTTTCTGGAGACCAGCTAAGCTAATATTGGAGAGGCTAATCACCAAGTTGACTTCAAGATGAATTTTTCAGCCACAGAAATTTGAATTTGACCAATTAAGTCATTAAGAAGTTTCCATCTGCATTGGCAGGGGTGAAGTAACTGCCAATCCTTGAGTTACTGAAATACAACACTCCAAAAGATAAAACACTTATTAAGTGCTTGCTGTGGGCCAGGCAGATAAGATAGGGCCTCCTTCATTTTGGCCGAGGTGGAGCACTATGGGTGTGGAACTTTATTAGGCTTAGCTGATAGGAGACTTTTTTTTCCCTTTTTATTCTTTGTAACAAAAGATGGCTTATTGGGCAGAAGAGGGGGAAAAGATAAATTTAGAAATTAAGGGGATAGAAAAACAAAAGATGTCAATTTTTTTTTAAAGAAAAGAGATCTAGCCAACACTTAAAGACATAGAGTCCAGTTTTTTATTCAAATGGCTTTATGAAAGTGTCAATATATTTACTTATTTTTAGAACTGTATTAGAGAAGTCCTGACTTAGAGGTTGTCTAATCCACTTGCAAATTTTCTTTTTTACTTTCTTCCTACATTTCTTTGTTTTCTTTTTCTCTTTCTTTCCTTTCCCTCTTTCCTTCTTTCTCACTTTCTCTCTCCTCATTTCCTTCTTTCTTCCCTTCCTCCCTTTCCTTTCTCCCTCTTCCCTTTTTATTTCTCTTTTCTTTTCTCCTTCCCTTTTTTCTTTTCTTCCTTCCTTCCTTCCTTCCTTTCTTTCAGACTGGGTCCTTATATCTCACCTAGCTAAAAGTGCAATAGTCACTTAGGCACCTGATTTCAGTGCAATCAGTACAGAAGCTTTGACCTATTCCATTTCCAACCTGAGCCTGTTTGCCACTCTTTGCTTGCCTCTGCTGCTAGAGACTGACAATATTGGTGTCAGATGGGTACCAGTTTGGATATCTAATCAGCTTGAGCCCTACTGCAGCTCAGGACTCCTGAACTCAGGCAGTTCACTAGCCCCAGCCTCCTCAGTAGCAGGGATTACAGACATCTGCTACCTCATTTTATAGATAAGGGAACCACAGTCTACAGAACTTTCATCCTGTGCCCAAGGTCACACATATCCTTCGTGGCAAAAGCCAGGACCATCCCCCAACATTTATGACTCCCAGTCTTGTTCTCTTTCCAGTGAACCACACCATCTCCCAGGTACTGCCAAAGCTAATAATAAATCTATGTTTGGTGAAATAACTGAGACCAACCACAAGAGAACTAGATGTATCAGGCAGTGGAAAAACAGAGCTCCTGAAAGAATTTAAGAACAAAAATGTATTTGTAAAGTAGTTCCCAAATAGCCTTGGTCACCCACTAAGAACAGATGAAATGAATAATAACAGAATGTGTGGGAAAAAAACTCATGCTCAAGTGGTTGCATATGAGCACTATAAATTGCACATGTTACAGGAACATAAATATACCATAGATATTTTGGTGAGTCTGCGAGTTCATCAGTGGCTCCTGCCACCCATCCAGATCACAATGCCTTCAGACCAGCTCATCCTGTATAATTCTTGCCCAAAGAATACCAGAGATTACAAAAACAAAAACAACAGAGCAAATGATGCTATCAAAATGTTGGCCAGTAGCATTTCTGTCTAAATTTTTCTCAGATAAGAAGAAAAATGTCTATAGCCACTCCGGGTTTTGCTCCCTGGTCAAATTAGATAATATAGGCCTATCTAGATGACTCCAAGCTCCCAAGTGGAATTTGGACCATAAATTAATTGCATTGATTTGGCCTCTGATTTAATTTCCCCCTCTTCTTTACCTAAGTGTAGCTAATATAGGATCATAGGATTTAAAGCTATTTAAAGGATCAGAGAGGTCATCTAATCTGACTTTACAGATAGAATAAACTGAGGCCCACAGAAGTTAGGTGATTTGCTTAAGGCCATACTGGTAGAACACATCAGAACAAGAATTTTAACCCAGGTTCTTTTGCTCCTAATCTAGTGTTCTTTCTCCAACATTAGTTTGTCTCTTATAAAAAGCTACATTTGTACCTATTCGGTATTAGTCACCCAATTGGGAGTGATTTAAAAGCTATTATTTAAAAAGAAAAAAAAACCTACTCCCCAGTCTTCTCCCATCAAAGTAATATTCATTTAACTCAATTCTTTTGGAAACAAGAAGGATAAAACAGGAGGATAAAGCCCTTTAACTACTGCTTCCACAGTGTGAAAACCCAGAAGAGCCCTTAGCAACAATTTCTGCATGCTAAGTGGAAAATTGAATTTAACTACAGAGCTACTAGTTATGTCCTTCTGTTATTTTTTTTAAAGAAGTAATTAGTCTACCAAATGACAAGTAGAATTAGTAAGCTATTAAGCAAGTAATGCAGATACTAATTAAAGTCACCACAATCTATCATACACACCATTGAATCTGAAACCTGTCATGCTTCCCATAATGGCCAATCAGGAACGTATCATTTCAATTAGCCCTATGGATACCCAATTATTGCTAACCCCTTACTCAATATTCCCATCCCTTGCAACTTACCACACTTATCCCATCATTGAGCAGGGCCTCTCCAAAGATCATCATGTATAGCTGCTCATTCACATGAGCCTCCTCAAATACTGCCAGTACTGCCGCCACCGGGTCCACCGCAGAGATCATACTCCCAAAGAGCAGATTCTGAAGCAAGTTGACATCACTGAGGCCAAAAGCCTTGACCTGGCATATCAGGTAGAGGGAGAGGCCAATGCCAAAAGCATTCAAAAGGGCCCCCATCCCCGACCACCATAGGATGGAGCCAATGTTCTCAAAAAAGGGCCGGGTGGGCATGAAGTAGCCCCCTTCAAGGACAATGGGTGGAAGGAGGTACAGGAAATAAATGCTTGAATCCATTACAGGTGGAGATTTGTGATCAGTGCCAAAGATGATACCCCCCACAAGAGCACCAACAATGATCAGGAGGCAGCTCTCTGGCATAAGACCTGGAAGCTTGTGATAGAGATGGAAACCTAGGAGAAAGCAGAGAGTCATGGTTTCCATTCATTCATTCAACAAGCAATTAAATATCTAATACTGTATATGACTGGCAGTGTGCAAGATGCTGAAGTGCGCAAGGACAAAAATAAAATAATATTTTCCCTCAAGGAGTTTACATTCAGTAGGGTGAAACTATGTACACAGAAAAATAAATGCAAAATATATATGAGGTAATTTTTAAGAGGCACATGGAGGGAAGGGAGGAATTAGCATTCATTTTTACAAGATTTTGAGTTCCAAATTTTTCTCCCTCTCTGCCCTCCCCTCTTCTGAAGATGGTAGGCACTTTGATATAGTTTGTACGTGTGCTATCATGTAAAGCATATTTCCTTATTCATCACAGTTGTGGAAGAAGAAACAGATCAAAAGAAAAATACCAAAAAGAATAAAATAAGTGAAAAAAATATGCTTCAATCTGCATTCAGAATCCATCAGTTCTTTATCTACATATGGATAGCATTTTCCTTAGTGAGTCCTTTGTGCATGTCTTGTATCATTGTGTTGCTGAGAAAAGCTGTGTCATTCATAGTTGATAATCATACAGTATTGCTGATACTGTGTACAATGTTTTCCTGGTTCTGCTCGCTTCACTTTGCATCAGTTTGTACAAGTCTTTCTAGGTTTTTCTAAAATTTGCCTGTTCATCATTTCTTATTGCACAATAGTATTCCATTACATTAATATACCACAGCTTGTTTAGCCATTCCTCAACTGATTTTTTCCCTGTTTTTCTAATTTGATTGCTTCATTGTCTATGGTACCTTTTAACAAGATATAGTTTCCTTCTTTATCTCTTTTAATTAGGTCTAGGATTGCTACTCTTGCCTTTATTTCTTTATTTTTTTTTATGTCAGGTGAAGCATGATAGATTCTCTGCCAGCCCCTCACCTTTATTCTGTGTGTTTCTCTGCATCAAGTGTGTTTCTTGTAAACAACGTATTGTAGGATTCTGTTTTTTGATCTACTCTGTTATCTGCCTCCATCTTATGGGAGAGTTCATCCCATTCACATTCACAGTTATGATTGCTGTGTATTTCCCTCCATCTTATTTTTTCCTCCTGTTTGTCCCCTCTTTCCCTTTACTCTTTCCTTCCTCATCTTTGTTTTGTTTCTGTCTACCACCACCTCCAATCTGCTCTCCTTTGTGTCAGTCCCCCCAGACTCCTCCCCTCCTACTTCCCTGTTGGGTAAGGTAGATTTCTATATTCAACTGATTGTGTATATTATTCCCTCTTTAAGCCAATACTAATTAGAGTGAGGTTCAAGTGATGCCCATTGCCCACCCTCCTATGTTCCCCTCCACTTTAACAGGTCTTTCTCATCCCTTCATATTAGATAATTTACCCATTCTACTTCTCCCTTCCTTCTGCACCCATTGTATTCCTCTTTCTCATTCCTTAATTGTTCTATATCATTCTCTCAGATTCACCTTATACCCATGCCCTCTGTCTATGTGTATTCCTTGTATCTGTACTATTAGTGATAGAATTTTTAAGAGTTACAAGTATCATCTTCCTGTGTAGGGATACCAACAGCTTAACTCTAGTGAATCCTTTATGCTTTCTTTTCTTTTTTTTACCTGTTTATGCTTCTCTTGGGTCTTGATATCGGAGATCAAATTTTTTATTTAGTTCTAGTCTTCTTATGAAGGCTTGAAATCCTTCTATTTCATTGAATGACCATATTTTTTTCCCCCTTGATGTATTATACTTCATTTTGCTGGGTAAGTTGCTGTTTATCCTTCATTCTTAAAGATGATCATGACATCAGGGAGGTGATGCCATGACATGCAAGTATATTGGATTTAAGTGAGGGAGGGCTCTGCAGAGTCACCAGCCTCACTTTCGCTTCTGGAGCCATCTAGGTCCAGTGGACAGATATAGATCAGGATAACTGGAGATGGCCCAGGATGCAGTGGGGAACCTTGGTGGTTTCAAGCTAAGGTCTTTAGCGGTCTCAGTTTGACTGAGGCAACACCTACTTAGTGATTAAGGTTTAATAAACAAGGAGGCAAAGAATGGCCTCTTTCAAAAAAAAAGATAGAAAGATCTGGGAGGGGAAGACCCTAGGGTTTCTGGGCAAAACAGAAAGAATTGCTATTTATATTCATTCTGAGCCAAGCAGGGCCCAAACAATGATGAAGTAGGAAATCATTCTCTCCTTGATTGCTGGGCAAGTGATTCTTGGTTGCAGTCCTAACTCCTTTGCCTTCCAGAATATTGTGTTCCATGACTTCTGATCCTTTGATCTTGCAGCTGCCAAGGCCTGTCTGATCCTGATTGTGAATCTTTGATATTTGAATTATTTCTTTTTGGCTGCTTGTAGTATTTTTTCCTTGACCTGATAGTTTTGAAATTTGGCTATAATGTTCTGTAGGATTTTTTATTTTGGGATCTTTTTCCTGAGGTGATTGGAAGATTCTTTCAATGCCTATTTTGTTCTCTGGTTCCAGAACATCAGGGTAGTTTTCATTGATAATTTCTTGAAAGATGCTGTACAGGTCCTCCTTTTGATTATGGCTTTTAGGTAATCCAATGATTCAGATATTATCTCTCCTGGATCTATTTTCTAGGTCAATTGTTTTCCCATGCTGTTATTTTACATTTTCTTTCATTTTTTCATTCTTTTTAATTTGTTTAGTTGATTCATGATCTCTCATAGAGTCAGTAGCTTCCACTCGCCCAATTCCAACATGTAAGGTGTTGTTTTCCTCAAGTAGCTTTTGAAATTTCTTTTCCATTTGGGCAATTGTACTTTTTAAGCAGCTGTTGACTTTTTTTCCAAGCTGTTGGCTCTTTTTTCATAATTCTCTTGCGTCATTCTTACTCCTTTTCCTACTTTTCTTCTGTCTCTCTTACATGATGTTTAAGCTCTTTTTTGAGCTCTTCAAGGAGATCTTTCTGGGCTTGAGACCGCCTCCCATTTTCTTTGAGTTTTTGCCCATAGGTGTTTTGACATTGTTGTCCTCTTCTGAGTTTGTGTCTTGATCTTCCCTGTCACCATAATACATGTCTATGGTCAGATTCTTTTTTGTTGTTTTCTGCTCATCTTTTTTATTTTATTTTATTTTGGCTTTTTTTTCCCTTTAAATTTGAGCTCTGCTCCCAGTGTGGAAGGGGCACTGTCTCGGGCTTCTTGTGGTAAAGACTGCAGTACCTGGCTTTTTACCTAGAGCTGCACTGATGTTTCCCTGAAGCCCACAGGGAACCCTAGCTTCTGGTGCTATGCTGAGGTTTGGGGGTTGGGGGGCTGGTGCTGCTGGAGGCTGTATGGGTTTGGTAGCTTACCTGGTGCTGATCTGGGGTCCTAGTGGTGATATCTGGTGTGTGCTCAGGCCTGGTGGGGTGTTTCTGCATTTTCTGTGTCTATACTGAGGCAAGGTGGGGTGGTGTTAGCTGGCAGCTTCTGTCTACCTGTTTGCCTGGGGCTGTGCTGAAGCATATGGAGGTCCTGTCACACTTGCCCTGGGCTGTGTTCAAGCATATGGAGGTTTGGCCACTAGAGGACGCCTGTTTTACCAGGGCTGCACTGAAGCATGTGGTAGCTCTTGGAGCTGGAGGCTGCCAGTTCCCCTGGCTATGCTAAGGCACTTGGGGGATCCTGGTGTTAATGTAAGCTTGCTCCATTACAATAGGGCTCAAGATCTCCTACTGGTTTGTTGAGATGGGCTTTGCTGCTGGCTTGCTGGGATGCTTCCCTTCCTGTACTGTGCTCCCCTTTTACCCCAGTGAAACAGACCTTTCTTATTGATCTTCCAAGTTTCTTAGGCTTCTTTGCACTGGCTTTACTGTTCTGGGACTTGTTCTGGGGTGGTTTTTTATGGTTGTTTGGAGGTGAATGTGGGAGAGCTACAGCAACTTACTGCTTATTCAGCCATCTTGGCTTCCAGAAGTGCTATGTAGTATTCTTTATTGTATCTCCCCACCTTCAATCCAACAAGGATTGTAGCATGGGATATGAACAGAGTTCTGAATCTGGAGTCAAGTTGATTCAGTTCAATAAGCAATGGTTAAGCATCACTTTGTGTCAGGCACTATGCTACCATAGGTGCTGGGGATATAAAAACAAAACCAAAACTAAAAATCTCTAAACCTAAGGAGTTTACATTTTATTTGCAGAATAATGCAGTTCAAATCCCAGCTCTGCCTTTTTTTTTTCAAGCTGCATGACCTTAAGCAAAATAAAACCTTTGGGGGCCTTAGTTTCCATATCTGCAAAATCAAGAGGTTAGAATTGTTTATTTTTAAGGTCCCTTCTTGATCTGAAAGCAATGAAAATGCTTGCAGACAAGGAAAAGTAGAGAAAAGAGAATGACAAACAAAGCTTCAATCGGACTTAAATTAAGCCTGAGCTCGAAACTAGATGTTAGGGATAATATAGCTTACTCAGAGATATGACAGTTAACTTTAATTCAGTTCAATTATTTAATGTTTGTTAGACATCTAGTGTGTGCAGAGCCCTGTGATGGGTGCTTGGGAAAGATTTTAATATTAGGTAAAGTCTAGATGGTGTTCTTATGGCTCTTAAATTCTCCTAGGAGGATATGGCATATGCACAAATAACTATCATGGAGAGAGGTATAAACAAAGTGATATGTGGTGTCCAAGGTGGGGAAGAGGATAATCCATCTATTCTGCCATTACTTCCAGTCTCTTCTTCTTCCTTTCAGAGAAGATTTATTAGAGGAAGCATTATTTTATATGGGCTTCTAAGGATGGGAAGATGCCATTCTAATCGAATTCAGTCTAAAAGGGATTCATTTCTAGGATGACTATAGAAGTAGTAATTGAGGAGGGTGCAGATTTGAAAGGTAGAATCACATAACTTGGTAATTGATTGACTATAAAATCACAAAATTAGAATTGGAAGAAATCCTTAGGAGTCCTTTAGCCCAACATTGACTTGAAGCATGAATCTTCTTACAACATCCTCTAACACATGGTCAATTGTTTAATCAAACATTCAGTAATAG